TAATTACTTCTCTAAGTGTCTAATCCCAAATGCAGCCCACTGGAGACTAACAATTTGGCATTGGGAGTTGGTAACATACAGTCAGTCATTCAGTTCACAAAACAGCTGGCTTTCCCTTTTAAGGTGAATATTAAATAAACTAGTACCTGGTCATCAACTTCTGGTTTAATCAATGTTAGTGGTTTGGGAATTGTGCTAATCGCTTCCTCTTTGTTCTTTTATGGTATTAGAATTACTGTGCTCTTTTATTTAGACCTGTCTTCAGATCTTTGCCAAGCCCCAGGGGAACTTTCACTGCATTTGGATTTTGCTGTTTTATTGACCATTTTTACTTTAATGCAGCTTTTTAGTATACTTTAACACAGCTTTGTTTTATATGATATTCTGCGTGTGGCTGGTGGTTTTATACCTATATAAAATGTACATGTGCATTCACTGTCTACTGGGACCCGCTTGTGAGGGTCACAGGGCTGCTGTCGGGTTACAACCATGATAATATACTCACAGGTAGGATACCAGCAGAACAGCACCCATAAGGAGTTGCTGCTGAGCAGAGTAGGGGGCAGAGAAGGCAGCCAACGCTAACGAAAGCTCACACAAATGGGAAGGCTTGCTGTGTTGCCATCTGTAACCTATTGTGGACATCGTGGATTAGTTTTAAGCTAGATTATGTTTTTTGGCCTTGGTATTTCCAATGACACACTTTGCTGGAGAGATCTCTTACTTGGGAAGTTGTTTGTTTGACGAGAACTGTCAGTCGGGTGTCCTGTGGGATGCCACCCAACCCCTGGGTGTGGCCCACTTTAAAGCACTGCCTTATCTCTGTAGTTGCTTCCAGTTTTTATCAGACAGGCTGGGGTATTATTTCAGAGTTCTGATTAGACTGAGTGAGGAGTGCTTTCGTGGGGGATTGTGTGGGCCCTCCATTTAAGAGAGAGAAAAGAGGTGGGGAGGAAAGAGGGCAGAACCAGCAAGTGGGGATGGGCAGAGCAGACACCGCTCTCCAGGCTGCTCTGTCATTGGGCCTTTGCCAGCAGATCACTGGATTGCCCAGTAATTGACATCATTTTAGCAGAAAGTAGAGACCATCTCCAGAGCTGAATTGAGAGAACCAGGCCGAGCAGAGGAGTGTAGGCTTTGCAGACTTGTGCTGGCTATGACTCCTGGTTCTGCCACTCACTGTCTCTGTGGCCGTGGCAGGTTCCTGGGTCTCAGCCCCTTATATTGGAAATAGACATAATCATTAGTTTGTAGAGTTAAACAGCCCCCCTCACAAGACTCTTTGGAATCCACAAGGAAACTGTGGGGTGCAAAAGCTTGGGCTTGCATCAGAATCCCTTTTAACTTTCTGTTGAACACAACCACATGGCCCAGAGAGGCCTGGTGTTCTACGAAATTAAGCAAAGTAAATTAGCAACTCTGGTTGTACTTAGCTAGTGATTAAATAACAGTTTAGTTAATAGGCTGTTAATGGTTCCCAGGTGTTGGTAATTCTGAGTGTTTGCTTTTGAGAGCAGTTGTGTAATTTCTTCTGGTACTTAGATTTTTCTTTAACAGAAAAATTGAAGGGTAATGGATGATGTTCTCAAGAGCGATTTAGGGGAAGATGAAATGACATACTGCACCTAAAGCATTCGGTATACAGCCTAACTCACGATAAGAGCCCAGTCAAACTTGTCTGCTCTTACTGGGGCTCAGCCTGGCCACCCTTAAGGCAGAACTCTGAGATCTCAGCACTCCTGCCCCCATCCCTGACCTTTCTTCCCATCACCACCTGATGGCAGCCAGTGGTACTGCATACATGGCAAGGAAGTCTTCCTAAATGCTTGACATATTCAGCTCTACCAGGTAGCACAGAGACTGAACCTCAGGGTGTGCTTTGTCTGCCCGAGAGCCAAGATCATGGAACATTAAGCAACGAAAAGACGTTTTTCACCTCCACAGTTGGGTAGAATTAGAATGTTCGCGACAAGAGCAGAGAAGTAGCCAGACAGATGGACTTGAGTGCTGTCAGTGGGATGTCGTCAGTTACACAGTTTACAGAGACAGTTTGGATGCTTCCGTCTTTTGAGGCGACAGCTCCTCGTCTAGATGGGTTTTGAAAAAATAGTCAAAGTAAGAGGAATATTTATTTAGAAAGTAAGCATATGCAAATATTTAAAATAGCTTTATACCTAACAGGAAAAATAGTGAAACCCTTTTCATTTGTGAATTAGAAACTTGAGTCCTTAGGGCAGTCATTTTTAAAAGAACAGGAAACACACGGGGGCAGTAGACATATCATTGCTCCTGAGGCAGAGGTGTGGGTGTTGGCAAGTCAGAATTGGCTCAGGGAACTATTCGCTTTTTAATAACTCCCATTGTGCCCACTGACTCTGTAGTAAAAGCCCAGAGAGTTGGACATGGGTGTGGCGTAAGATAGAGATGATGCGGGAGAGGGCAGCTGTGCAGGACCTGTGTTCAAAAATTTTAGTTTGGGGAACAATGGTTTCTAGGGAGTAGACATATGGATGAAAGCAAAGAGTTAATTTTGACCTGTGGGGAAAAAGGAGCCCTGATTGGGTGTCATCAAGGGACTACTGGAATAATACAATGCATGGGTTTGAAAGTTTAAAGGAACCAGCGTCATGGCCTTGAAGAAAAATGGCCCCTTATTTAGCTCTGCTTAAGGTCTGAGGCAAACCTACTTTTGACACGTGTTTGGTTGTGTTTGTAACGCCGGTACCCTGTGTGCCCAGTGTGACCGCGACACCCCTCCCCACAGTATTCCTTCTAAGCCTGACTGGAGATGAGGTGTAGAGCATTGTGGGGCCCTCCTCTGCTCCAGCCTCAGTCTGACACAACAGGATACCCCCTCAGCAGGTGTTGTGGGTGTGAGTGCTGGCTTAAAGTTTGGCTTTTATGGGATGGTTTTAAGATTAAAAAAATATGTTCGTGTGTGAGCGCACATGTGCACATGTGAGTGCATGCGTGCGTGTGTGCGCGTGCACCTGTAGAGGCACAAGAAGGTGCTGAATCCCCTAAAGCCCAAACTGTAGTTGGTTGTGAGCTGCTCAGTAACTGAACTCTGCTGAGAGCTGAGAGCTGAGCTCTGGTCCTCTGGAGGAGCATCGGGCGCTCTTAAATAGCCCCCATAAGCTGATATGTTTTTCTTAAAGTCATAGGCTGCATGAGACCCTGTATCAAAAAGGGGAAAAAAGAAAAAAGAAAAGAAAAAAGCCACAGCCTTTCCCCCTATATTTTTTATGGAAAAATTCAAATGAACAAAATAATTGCGGAAACAACATAGTGAACTTGGTATATCTGTCACTCTTGCTGTTCAGGTGACCTCACTTCTAGCCACCAGTCAACTCCTTTCAAGGTGGCTCCCAGTTCTTTTGTTAAGAAGTGGGCAGTTTTAAATGGATCCCACCGTCAATATCTTGATGTTTGCCCACTACTCTGAAAGATCAGAGGCTTAGAGGGTCATAAAAGGGTCTGGGCTGTTGGTCTTTTCAGGAAGGGGATGTTCCAGTGCTCACTGTTCTGCAGCTGCTGTGGCTCTGCCGTGTTTGCCATCACTCACGTGAGGGATTCATCTCACAGAAAACTCTTGTGAGCAGAAGATGGCGGCAGGGTGGGGGCGGGGGTGTTGGTACACATCAGCACAGTAAGTCATTTGTAAAGTACTCGGCCCCGTAGAGGAGGGCAGGGTGACTTAAGGAGTCCTGGTTGGATAATTCGAAACGGCCCAAAGTCCAATAGTCATAGAATGACACCAGGAACACTGGGCTTCCAGGACAAGAAGATCTCAGACTCCCCTGCTGCCTTTGTGCCCCGGGGAGGTCCCTTCAGCTTTTCGGCTCTTGCCTCCCTCGGTTTTGGAGAGGAGCGTTGTACTGAAATTACAGAAATTGTTTCTTAAGACTGTAGACTCTCGTCGGGCCGTGATGATGCACGCCTTTAATCCCAGCACTTGGGAGGCAGAGGCAGGCGCATCTCTGTGAGTTCGAGGCCAGCCTGGTCTGTGTAGGGAGTTCCAGATCATCCAGGACTGCACAGAGAAACCCTGTCTCAAAGCACCAGATAAAATAAAAAATAAAAATAGTGGCTCAGACCCAATGGGTCACAGACTTCGCCTCTCACTTCTTATGTATTTCTTTTCTTTTTGAGACATGATCTCACACGGTAGCCTAGACTGGTCTAGAACTCACTGTGGGCTCCAGCTCACAATGCTCCCTTTCCCATGCTGGGCTTCTCCTCTCGTTTTGAAGAAGGACCCGAGGTTGCCCCAGTTGCATCACCCAGGGCAAGGATACAAAACTGAAACCATCAGATATCAGGGTTGGAAAGCTGGCTCAATGGTTAAGAACACTTGTTCTTACAAAGGACCTGGGTTTGATTTCCAGCACCCACATGGCAGCTCACTGTTGTCTGTCATTCCAGTGCCAGGAGATCCAGCACCCTCTTCTGACCTCCCTGGGCACGAGGCTTGTGAGTGGTACGTAGACATACATATAGGCAAAACATACACAAAAATAAATCTAAACAATAATTAAAATAAAAATATCAGATATTCAGGAGCACTGTCTTTATGAGTCTGAAATCTTGGTAGTGCTTTTATATATAGAACTTGATCTGTTTGATTAGACAGTTATCTCCTCTACCTTCATCTGTGCCAAAATAATAAATAAATAAGAAAAGAAAAAAAGAGTAGGCTGTTTATTTCCCAAGTGGCCTAACATTTGGGAGACTAACCAGCTCCTTCCATTAAGCAGAGATAAATTAGAGAACAGGGTGATACGTGGGTGTCCGTAGACTCCTGGGAAGTTGGCTTGGAGAATGAGAGATCCCATTCTCAGTAAAGTTCTGGTCGTCTTCCTGTGGCTCACCATTAGTGAAAAATAAGTTACTTGCCCCATTATAAAGAAGGGAACCAAGTTAGGGACTATAAGCCTCAGTGATTTGTGCCATTTTTATCGCTAGAATTGGTAATTCTTTCTTCAAACTTCCCTTTGCAGGCTAGCTAACGACCAGGAGAAACAGAGTGGAAAATGCAAAACAACGAAATTATTAAACCGGCCAAATACTTCTCCGAGCTGGAGAAGAGCATCTTGCTTGCTTTAGTGGAGAAGTACAAGTATGTGCTGGAGTGTAAGAAAAGCGATGCGCGGACTATCGCCCTCAAGCAGCGCACCTGGCAGGCGCTGGCGCACGAGTACAACTCCCAGCCCAGCGTGTCGCTGCGGGATTTCAAACAGCTCAAGAAGTGCTGGGAGAACATCAAGGCTCGGACCAAAAAAATTATGGCCCACGAGAGAAGGGAGAAAGTGAAGCGCAGCGGGAGCCCCCTGCTGAGTAACCACGTCCTGGGCAAGGAGAAGATCAGCAGCATGCTCCCGGAGCAGCTCTACTTCCTGCAGAGCCCGCCTGAGGAGGAGCCCGAATACCACCAGGACGCAGCCTCTCAAGGTACTCCCCGGGCAGTGGGGCTGGAACAGTTTAACATGGGATTTTTTTTTTTTTTTTAAAAAAAGACTTATTTATTTAACGTATATGGGTGCTCTATCTGCGTATACGACCTTGTACCAGAAGAGGGCATCAGATCCCACTATAGATGGTTGTGAGCCACCATGAGGTTGCTGGGATGAATTCAGGACCTCTAGAAGAGCAAAGAGCAAGCAACCAGTGCTCTTAACTACTGAGCCAACTCTCCAGCCCCTTAACACTGCAACTGTAAAATGCTTCAATGTGTAAGATTTGGGTCAGACTGGGTCATTACACAGAGCCTTCAGAACAGAAATCCCGATTTTTTTTAATTTTTATTTTTATGCAGAGACCATAAAGAGCGCATGTGTATCATGCTCATTAACGCGGTATTCTGATTGCTTAGCTCAAACCATGTCTGTTTTATTAAAAGAAATTTGATGGGGATTTCTGTTCGTTCACTTGGTCTTTTAAAAAGCTGTTTTTGAGAAGCTACTGTTAGGTCCTGCTTTAAATCACTCAAAAGGGCGTGTTAAATGAGTAAACTATTTCCAATTTAGAAACAGAAGCACAGGATTAGCGACTCGAGAGATGGCTCAGTGATTCAGAGCACTTGCTGTTCTTACAGAGGACCAGAGTTCAGTTCCCAACACCCATGTTTGGCCGTGGACAGTTGCCTGTAACTCCAGCCCCTGGGAATCAATGCCGTATTCTGGTTTGTGCAGGCACCCCCATGCTCATATGCAGGGTCACATAGAGTCATATACACACAAAGATGAATTAAAGAAATTACATATATATTAAATATATATTCACAGGGTTTCTCTGTGTAGCCTTGGCTATCCTGGAACTCACTCTGTAGACCAGGCTGGCCTCACTCACAGAGATACACCTGCCTGTGTCTTGAGAGTGCTGGGATTAAAGACGTGCACCACCATGCCTGACTAGAAATATAAATTAAAAAAAAATACACCCAAAGTACAGAGACTAAATAAGCAAAACACCGTGTTAGCATTCACTCCAGTTCTTACCAGTATTTTCACTCCCTGTAGTACTGTGACCCAATTTTCTTATTTGTGTCATTCTAGGGATTTAGGGAAATTCTAGGAACGAAAGTTAAATTTTAACATACTCCTCTTGCAAAGAGCAAAACATGCCACATATGATTCTCAGGGAAGGAAGAGACAGTCTGCAATCAAAGATATATGGTTGGTTATCCATGGCTTCAGAAGGTGGGCATCCAGGGGTGCCCCTGTCTGCAGGCAGGCAGAGGGTAGAAAAGCAGATAGATAAACTGTCAACAACTCCCACCTCTTTTAAGACAGGAAGTGACACCTTCTATAAAAGGTCATTGCAGTTTGCAGAAGGTACTCCACAGCAGAGGAAGGCTGGTGGGCTTGCTAGGGGGCTGCACAGAGATGCTCCGAGGACCCAGCAAGCACTTGCCTGGGAAATCTGGGTCTTACCTTGCAGAACACTGAATTCAGTGTCCCCAGAGTAGACAGATCTCCGAGGGCCTGGCTCCTATTAATTAAAAGTCGTAAGAAACTTAGAAACCAAGAATGCTGTGTAGCGTGAGAAAGGTAGTTACCATGTGAGCCGAATGCGTGCTTTTGATTAACACTTTTCCCCCCGTGGGTGGATCATCCTAGGAAGCTAAATTACGGCCCAGACTTTGCTTGCTAATCAGTTGATTAAGTCCAGGCTAGTAGGCTGGGTGACCACTGTGGTCAGTTGTCATGAACCTTATGTATCATTTCATGACATAGGAGATTAATGTTTGGGTTTTAATTCTCGGGGTCCCATGCCAAGCTAACTCTGGGCACCGCCAGCTCTCTTCTCCCTCCGTGCTGCTTCTGTGGGCATGCACCTCCTTTGCTGGTCTTTGAGGCTTTGGTCACTTTGCTATGGCTGCGGAGCATTCAGTCAGTGCATCCCACATCGCATCCTCCAGCTCCCTTACTTTCTTTCCTCCCCCTCTCTCCACACACACAAGTGGTAATAGAGTTAAATAAACAAAAATGGGAGGGGTAGGGAAGCTAGCATTATTAACGATAGCTTCTGCAAATTGGTACCAAAAAAGGTAGAAAATGTAACTATCTTGTGTGTTTTTGACACATGACCGTGTGTGTTGCTTTTGTATCTGTAACACTGTAGTGTCTAATTCAGAAGCCATGTAGGCCGGAGGCTAATAAGCTGTTGAAATATGAGTAGACAAAACTGAGATGATCTGTAATCAGACGCACCACATTTTGAAGCCTTAATATCACAAAGGAATCTCATCAATAATTTTATGTTAATTACATGTTTAAATAAGTTTTCAGATAACACTGGATAAAATACATCACAAAGTCGGTGTGGCTTTTGTAGTGTGGGTGTAAGCACTCAGAGTTACTCATGCAGTTTATAGTCTACTCTGCTGATCAGTGCTGGGTTCCCGGAGATGTGCTGGAGTTTATTATAGAATGGTAAGCAGGATGGAGTTTTACAGGTTCCACTAGAGGCCTCCCTCTAGCTGTGTTATTATGAGAGATGGCATCACCCATGGATGTTCATGGCTTCGTCGAAGACCTTCTTAACATGTTCAGCAGTGTTTGAACACAGTGGCCTTACCATTTAAGAAATATACTTAGGGACGTATTCATAAGAAAACCAGCGTTTGTCCTGTAGGCACTGGCTCCTTATCAGTTTCCAGTGTGCAGACTTTGTGACCTGTGATAATTATCCTTTTAGAAGAACAGGTGTGGAGAGGTGGCCTAGTGGGTAAGACGACAGTTGAAATACATATTAAGGTGATTTATTTCTTTAATTGCGTTTGTGCTTGCCGCAGCCTGTGTGAAGTCAGAAGGCAACTTGGAGGAGTGGGCTCTATTATTTACCACATGGATCCTGGGGATCCAGCTCAGGCCATCGGAGTTGGCAGCGAGCGCCTTTACCCACTGAGCCATCTCAGTAGTGCCTTGACTACATTTAAGAGAACTGGGCATTTTTTTTAAGTCATTACTTTTTTAAAAAAAAATTAATTAAT